ACAGGGATATTTGTAAGCACAGATATAAGATATCAATTATGTCTGAAGTGAACTTGAATCGATGGTCTAAAAATGTTCAAAAGATCAGCTTTGTGCATTAAGATTTACATGGTACATTCAGACCTCAGTACTCATGGCAGTAGGTGGTGCTCCTCTCCTGCAAATGTCAACTAACAAGAATCAAATCTACACCCACAAAAAAGGGACTCTATACTATAGTATACTGACATCTTATTATAACTCTATTATAAACTACTGTACTGTAAATGCAGAAAATTACTGGATTTTGCAGAAAATTAATGGATTACTGGACATTGATGCATGCTATTAGGAGTGCCATTAAATCTCCAAATACAGTATTCACATCAAGATTTTCTTATTAAACACACCCTATTGAAAACACACAGAAAACAACCTTTTAAATAAAAAATATGATAAAATTTTACTTTTTTGGTAGTAATAGAGAACAAAGATAGATGCGGAGAAGAACAAGCTGCAGGAAGTGTTTAAATTTCCTCTGGAGTTCTGGGCAGGGTCACTGGAGAGGAAAGCGTGGTCCTTCATCTCCTACATGACGGTCTGTGTATATTCATTCAAGAACTTGTGAGGAGAGATTGCGAGACCTATTTAGCATATCAGACGCCTTATCAAGGACACAGGCTGAAATTGATTTGTTATTTTTTTCTGGATTGAGCTGGGTTTAAACAACCCCTGATACTTTTCATTCTGGACGCCACACTCATCTTCAACTTTGGACCTAAAGATCACAAGACGCTTTTTATCTACTAAGCAAATTTTGCAAGGGTCCTGCTGGGATCTTTCCATCTTCTGCAGTCTGATGGTAGTTTGTCCTGCTTCTTGTTGGAGAGTTCAGGCATCAAGACAGTATGTTGAGGTGTTTGCTACAGAGAGCGACCAACCTGAGAAATGTAGAGAAGGGGGAAAGGCATAGCGACCCGCTTGCTAGCATCACTTTCAGAGGTGAGAGGTGACTCTAAACAATGTGATTGTACGTCCATTTGAGAGTATGAAAGTGAGAGCATGAATATGTTATGGCGATATGAGATTAAAAGATTTTCAAACTAAGTAGATGGATGCTATTTAAGAATGTTTGTGTTTTAGTTCTGATTAAGAATCGCTTTTGTTCTAAACATTTAAAAGAAACAATTTAACGTGAGAGTTAGAAGGAATGCAGTTGGTCAATGTGACATTGATTGTTGTGGGGTTAAGAAAGCAGATTTCTGTCATTATGTGATGAATGTTTTAGGATGGTTGATCAATACAGCCAATAGAAGAATGGCGCTCTTATGTTACATGAAGATTTCAGTGTAGTTTTGATATTTGTTCATCATTTTGTAAGCTCTTGTATTGAATGAATGAATGACTGTGACAGACACAAGTTTTAGACCAGCTCGCAAACTGAGTGGCAGTTCCTTTCATTGTTTAGTGTTTCCTGTTCCAGCGCAGGGATGTACAGGAACATGCGTTTGTGAGCGTGTAGGACTGACGAGCTTGATGTGTTTGTGTTTGCCAAGTTTCCATGACAACAATATATTTTTTTTAATTAAGGGAACATTTAATTGTATAAATTGTTGCAAAACAAGGAAATAATATTATGTGGTTAATAAGCTGGTCGTTGGTAAAACTGACATTTGGTTTGGGTATGACATGACGTATCTGATGTGCTTTTGCAGGATGCTTTCTGAAACAATGCAGTTCCTGCTATTTAGCAGATTACTCATGATCATGATTATAGCAAAATGCCTTGGTGAAAACTGATTTTCGCAACTTAATTTGGATATTTTTTAAAGATATTTCCAATATTATTTCAGCATTATTTCTTTTTTTGTTTTTTTGTAATATTTTGTTTTATTTAACCCTTTTTATAAGATTTTTAACAAACAAAGTAAAAAACCAATAAAAAAATACAATACAAAATAATTGACATTAGCCCCACCCCACCCCCTCAAAAAAAAAGGGATCATCACAGTTACCAAATATACATAAATATATACATGACATATGTAGCATAAACAAATTACCAAATATGACAGTATTCACGTTTTTACTAAGTCAGTGTCATGAATATATGAGTTAGAGATGAAAATTTCCAAAGGTAAAATGCTAGATTCCCAAGAGTCAGCAATATTTTTTTATGTTATAGTAGTTATTTATATTTTGATTTTACTTTTTTTTTTTTTGGTTGAAAAAAGACATTTCTGTTTTGACGTTTTGTGCATTTATACATTGTTTGAGTCAGAAGGGCTTATTTGACTGGTCAGCAGTATGACATTGATTGTTGTGAGGTTGTGAAAACAGATTCTTTCCTTTCAATATGTAATAAATGTGTTTATGCTTTGGCAAAAACAAAATTTATAATATTAAATTGAGTATTTTTTAACTTACCACAGGTGTTTTTGATTTATCTAAAGTATAGTTTGTAGTTTGTTATAGATAAGGTATTATTGATCATGCTGCTGTTTTATTTAATAAATTGTTT